TGGCTTCATTCTTGATAATTCACGTTAATTACTGGGGTCAAGTCCAACAAATGTTTAAGAAGGCAACAGGAGCCCTTCATAGTTTTATTCTTCACTAGTTGTGTCAAGGATAGTTTTCTCCTCTTCAGGTATATTGCCCTATATTCACAAGTAGCACTGGATTTCCTTACCTCCAGTTATGCATATTGTCTCTGGTTTGTAGAATCTCTTGTGGATTCCTGTGTGATAGGAGTTGAAAGACCAGTACGTCTCATATTCTAAAATATCATTACATTTTATACTCAGTAAAATATCAAGGGGGTGTGTGTGTATTTAAATACATGTATACATATATATTTCCCACGAGCTAATTCCATATATGTGTGCGTAGTCAGGTGTTTCTAATGCACCTAAGTATGGATTTGCTTTGGATAAGTGATTTTTCTGATCTTGTAAGATCCAATTTGCCTTCCATTACATCAGAAAATTAATAGTCATTTTCTGACGAGAAGCTTCTGGGCAGTTTGCACTAAAGTGTTGGCTCATCACTCAGAAGTAGTGAGAGCTGATTGCCAGTTTTTAATGGACATTCAGACTATAATATATTTTCGGGTGTCATCTGCCTCTGCACTAATGTGAAATGCCCTGTGGGGCACAAGGGAAATGGAGTCTTCACTTAAAAAAATAAATAGAGGTCCATAGTTTCAGAGGACCTGAACTTTCTTTGTCAGACTTGGATCAAAGGCTGGTTCTAGCACACTTGTCTTGGTTTATAACAGTTGGAGAATAAAAGGACAAGAGCAGGTATTTGTTGTTAGTCCATTCTGTGCTCTGATTCCTGGAATGGATCGTGGGGGAGACTGCACATTGTCTTTTCACAGACAAAGGCAAAATAACGGGCAAAGACTGTTACTAAAGTCAGTGGATTAGGTATGCTGTGTATGTGTAGATTCTGGCATCATGGGGAGGGTCAGCACTGTAAGCTTGAGTTCAGCTTATGTCGGCATTCCCTGTTCAGAGTTCCACATGCTGGTAAACAGCCGAAACACGGAGCAGCCAGAACAACCCAGTGTCCTCTGCACAGCTGTCATCAGTAGTACTCTTATCATTTAAAATATAAGAAAATACTTTTCCCCCCCTCCATGTTTGTTTTTTTTTTTGTCAAATTGTTTATGCTGTGGTTTTATGGGGATAACCATATTGTGTTCATTCCAGAAATAGTAACTAACTAGATCCTTCCTATTGAGTCTTGGAGCATCAGTATAATACATGTGAAAGACTGTCCCTCTTCCTGGGACACAGAGTTCCCTGAATCTGCTCATTGAAATAATTTCACCCATGTCTCAAGAGCCTCCTCAGTTTCCATTTACAGAAGTCGGAGAGTATTCAATGACTATAATACTTCATCTTTTTTACTACACTGTGCAGTCAGAAAAGGGGAGCTTAAATTATTGCTTGTATGTATTTATTTAATATAATGAAACTTTTATAACTACTGTTTTTATTCTTGAGAGTGTTCGTTGAATTCAATGAAAAATTAACTATGACACAGGAAAAGAATAAGCCACACAGTAATACCCAAGTATAATATTGCAACTAATGTTAGATCAACATTCATACGGTCATTCATATAGGCATATTCATAATTTTCTTAAAAAAAAACCCACTTCAGTGTATCTAGGAAATACGCAGCAGCTATTTCGGTTTTTAAAAATTGTTCCTATCTTGCGAATGGAGAGCTAAATGACTTTTATTATAACATTTTGTGTACATGATAAATGTACCAGACATCTGCAGGGAGTATGAATCACTGGAGTGGTCTGAATTATACTGAGAGCTTTCAAAAATAACTGGAAAATAAAACTTTGTAACTGATTTATATTTATTTTATTTCATATTTTAATTTAGGTTGTAATCTGGAAATATTTTACTGAGCATTTAACTACCAAAAAAAAAAAAAAAAAAAAAAGACTTCTGGTTTAAAAGAAGAAAAAAAAGTCGTTTTGGAAGTGTATCCTCTCTGAGCTGCAGTGTATAATAAAAAATAGCACCAAAGCCACGTTCTTCAAGCTCCTTAAACTGGTTCTTAGTTGACAGCTCGATGCCCCTTTTATTATTCATTCTGACTGATGGGTAGATTCTTGATCTAAGGGAAATGACCTTCGAAACAGCCTTGTCTGTTTGGGAGGATCCCAATATTCAGTTTTAAAATAGTGCTTCTTCAAACTGTTCTCAGATCTGGCCAGCTGTGAAAAATATGTCTCGGATGTAGGACATTTAGAGCCTTCTCTGAGTGTGCTTGTTACAATCATTTGTCCTACAACCTCAAGAGCTTACTCATTTGCCATATAAGGATGTGAGACATAGTTAAATATTATGCTTTTAATTACTAGAGAGTGTTTCATCCAGAATTCATCCCGTTGAGACAAAAAGAGTAGGTTATGGACTCTTCTCCAAAAACTGTAATTACCCTCCCTGACTGCAGATCATATAGGCAGTGAATGGCGTGTCTGTCAGCCAAGAGGCATGGAAGCTGAAGCCTTACAATTGAGTGCTTGAAATTGAAAATTCAGTCAGTGCTGACATTGTCTTTCGCTCACCCTTACGAGCGCAGGCAGTAAAAGAGCCTTAACTCAGTAGGTCATCTTACATATATTCTGCAAATCATTAGCACAACTCGGGGGTTGAATTTCGTCCCGTTGTGTTGCCCTGCTATTGAACGTTTAAGTCTGACACCTTTATTTCACTGTAAAAATTGTGATTTCATTTTTGTATAAATCATGTGAAGACTTTGTGTGAAGGACTTGGTATTTCTTGGGTTTTATGTGTACTGCAAAAGAAATCAGAATACGAAATGTGTTAGAAACATTAGGTGAGTATTTTCTTCCAACTGTCTCCCCTTTGGTATAGTATCATGTATCCAAAAGTCATGAGAATCCAATGTCTACATTTAACTTCAATCACATGGGTTTTTTCTTACTGATTTCATTCTTAAGATTTCAAATATATTTGAATATTTGCGTAGTTCTTCAATTGCTAAGTGATTTTTTGCAATATTCCATTACACAGTTCTGAAGAGGCAATAGTTGAGATTTACTTCTTGTTTTAAAGCCTGGTTTAATGTCTTCCTAAAAGTCCATGAAAGAGTTTGGTTTGTTTGGGTTTTTTTTGTCATGCATTTTCAGAGAAACACTTGTTTGGAGATTTGGGATGATTTGTATGAACTGTATTTCTGAGATGCAAGAAATAGCAGTGTCTTGGACTGAAAATCCTTCTAGTTTTTGACAAGTATATATTAATAAGGATCCAGCTAAACTTTAGAGGAATCTTGTACATAAGACTGAGGGAATTTAAGAGTAAAAACTATTTGCTGGAGGAAATTGAATTGAAAAGGAACAAAATTAGATTTAGTACTAAATGTAATGCCTCTCTCATAACTACATTCATGCTGTGGATCAGAAGGAAAAAAGCAAATGCTAGTTTTAATAACTCTTCCTTGTTCTTTGGGCTGGGGGGGGTATAATTTTTTTTTTTTTTTTTCCAATGCTAATAGACTGAAATGTGGTGGGGCATCAGAGGGTAAGGAATCACGTGCTGTTGCATTGAAGTGCATCCCCATCGCACTGGAACAGGCGATTCTGTGGCAGGATGGGGGGCAACGTGCCCTGTGCTGAGGCAGGCAAAGAATTAAAACATTAAATGCAGCTTACGTCCTGTTGCTAGAGAGTATAAAGCTAATTTTTTTTTTTTTATTATTATTAAAAGCCTGTTTTAGCAGCCAGCCCGCAGTTTGCAAGCTTCTGTGTAAGCTCTGGTGCTGTTTGCCTGAGGCTGGCGAGCTGCTTGGGCAGCGCAACGTGTCTCCAGGTCCACTGCTGCTTTCACTGCTCCCTGGCAGCCCAGTAATTTGGGGCTTCCATTTAAAAGTTAACAAACCAAACTGATAAGTGTCATTTAGGTGGTGTAAACCGGTAGTAGCAGCTGAAGGAAAGTGTTAGCTGCAGTGCCACAGACATGTATCCTCCAGGTCCTCCAGTTAGCAGGAACATGTCCAGTGACCCTGTTCTGCCTACTATTTGAATTTCTAGCTGCATGGGAAAGCAGGCACACTACTTATTTTGACAATAAGATTCTGCAATAGAGTTATTTAACCTGTGCTTCATTAAGCTGTGATACTCCTCTGTGAGCACCTCTTAATTAGTCTAAAACGAACGCAACGCACAGCTATTGTCTGTGGTTCTCTCCAAAGCTAGACCAGATGTCACTGCTTTGATTGCAGTAATGCTTTGATTTTTTTTGTTGTTGTTGTTATTGCAAGCATAGCCACTGGAAATTTTTAAGACATCCTTCCCCTGTACAGTAACAAGAGAGACTAGAGAAAAAGGTAGGTAAGGCATCAAGCTTCTTTTATTGCGTTAGGAGGAGAACAGGCATCGCTTTCAGAGCTGTTTGTAATCCAGCAGCGTCCCAGATGTTAGAAGCACGGAGAGCAGCAAGACAAGAGCTTTGCGCTTCTCTGTGTGCTGGGACAGGAATGCTCTGCCTATCCGGACTGATTTTGCCCTGGCCTTGCTGTTTCTGTTCTTGGGAACTGCAGTTGCTGCAGCATGAACTGAACGCATCACACTTAAGACCATTGCCCGTTGCACCCATGCGACTGGTATAATTGTTTCTAAGTGCGTTGATTTAATTTTTCTGCAGTGATTTGTCTAGATTTATGAATGACTTAAGTGCACTTTAAATGTATTGTGACTAGATAACCTTCGCCTAATGAACTTCAGGCATTGTGACATCTTTAATTTCTGCTCTACCTGATGGTTTTCCTTTTTTGTATCTTTGATTTTTCAAGAGTCTGACTTAAGACATCCAATCTCTTTGGTTTGCTTATTCAAGCTGTAACAAAAAGCGAATTCACTGATGTTTCTTAAAAAATTATAACCCTGCAAATCTATTTGTTACAATAAATTATTTCCCAAAAGGACAAAAAATATTTAAGAATCCTCTTCTCCTTTTTCTTCAAGTGGTCTTACGCTTTGGAGAAGCCAAACACTGGCAGCATATTTAATATCGCTTGGTCTATTGATGGCACTCAGCTAGCTGGAGCGTGTGGAAATGGACATGTTATTTTTGCCCATGTTGTGCAGCAACGCTGGGAGTGGAAGAACTTTGAAATAACCTTAATTAAGAGGAGAACTATGGAGGTAATGTTCACAGTTCAGAGCTGTGCGTTCTGATTACTAGATTCCTAAGGCTTTGTTAAATATAAAATGGGAATTTTTAATCTTTGATAAAACATTCTCCTTTTTTTTTTTTTTTTTCTGCATGTCTATAACTGAAAATGCTTTAAGATCATAAAACAGCCAGAGTTAACAAACGGTATAAATAATTATCAGTTGTACAGAAGATGAGGTCCATGTTAACCAAACCATACCACCAGATGGACCAGAATCACATAACTCTGAATACTTTATCCACCAGAAAAATACGAAGCTGATTTGAAGAGAACGTGAAATTAGCTGAGAGGCCACTTACAAGAGAAAGATATATAAGGTGTAGTTGGGAACTGTCAGTGTTAGGTTAATGGTTGGACTAGATGATCTTCAAGGTCTCTTCCAACCTTGATGGTTCTGCGATTCTGATAATTTCAAGTATAATAAAAATGTTTATGCAGAAAACAATACAAATACATTAGCCAAAACCAGAGCTTCTTATTAAATATTACAACGTTTTTGCGTTATTTGCAATGTTACAGCAAATTGTGCATTGTTAAGTCTAACAATACCTGTCAGCAAAGACGAAGCTGCGTAACCCAGTGTAGATAATATAGAGGAGCTTTCTATACCTAATCTGCGTTTGTGAGTTGTTGGAGGCACTGATGCGTTGTTTTGCAATGGGTTGCATAATGGTGAAAATCAAATCACCCTCAGAATGGTGACATCTTAAAACAAAACAAAACAAAAAAAAAAACCCAAACCCTAACGCTTTAGTGAGATTCGTTATATCCCTGTTAATGAGGCTGTGATGAATGTTGCTGTCTTAAGGCATTTCCAGATAGATTTGGTTTGCTGACTGTAACTGTAAAGAGTTGTAATGTGCTTTTCTGCACCACGCATTGTATTACAGCCTAGATTCAGATCTTCCAAAGCTGCAGAAGTTTGTCGTCTATCACGTAACATACATCAGGTACCTGCGTGGTGCTTCCAGCCGAGTGTGGAGCCATAGGCATTGACCTCAGTGGGACCTGCCAAGTCTCAGCACTGCTGGAAATGAAACAGGCCCCTACATGTGGTTTCTGGAGCTTAAGTTTAGGATCCTTCTTTTGAAAAATCTTGGCGTGAATCCACATTTAGGTTACCAAATATCTGGGAATTAATACAAAAATATGAATTTTTACCTTCTAATTTGTCCTCTGTGTTCCCAGACACTGACTCACAACATTCACTCTCTGAACACTGGGATAATATAAGATTTCCATTCTTACAAATTTTCCAAATTACACATTTGGTATTGGACACCAGGCCAATATTTTCAATATCGAAGTAAGTTCCTAAATTCCTAATTAGGCCCTTTAAATGTTTCTTGGTCTTGATTCTTTTAATGTTGAATATGTAATTGGGAAAAGTTGTAACAACAGAAATGCTGTATTATTACAATTTGGTCCGGTGGGTGGGATAACATGAGTCAGTGTCTGGGAACACAGAAGACAAATTAGCAGGTAAAAATTCGTATTTCTTCTTTCATTCCCAGACATCGACTCGTAACAGATGGGCTCTCTGAATAATCTCCAGGGTGTTTGAATATGCAAACAACTGAGGAAGTATAGCTAACCCCAATTCAGGACAAATTTTTTATTTTATAGTGATTTTTATTTTATTCCTCTATATTTACGTAGGAAAATACCGCCTGCAGAAAATTTCTAGAGGCATTCTTTTTTTCTGAGTATTACAATAGCTAAGTTAATTATGAACATATCACTGTGGTGGACATAGCAATTAATATGTCTTTGGAAATAGTGTCTAGGCTTTCATAATAATTGAGTTCAGTCCTTGTTTTGCAATTGGTTGCATAATGGCGAAAATCAAAAAGAAGTTGCCACCCCCAGAATGGTGACATCTTAAAACAACAACAAAAACAAAGAAAACAACGCAACAAAAGAACTCCGAACAAGCAAGCAAAAACCTGTCATAAGATACCTCCTTAGATTTTAGCTGACTAAAATCTTTGAGCTCAAAAATCCGTGTTGATTACAGGCACCCTGTGATTTTCTCGAAACGTTGTCATTTGAGCAAACTTTCACAGAAATGGCAAAGGCACGGCCTGCTCACCAAGGCTATCTCCTACATTTCCCTTACTTGAGTGTGTGGTAGCATTAAAAATATATGCTAGAGCTATACAACGTCTAGAGAACATATCCTTATCCAAATCCTGGATATCGTTGAATCGTTTTGGTGGGATCATGCTGGGATTGCTGAAGTATTATATTTCAAATGTTTAAATAATCAGCATCTGAACACTGAATCTTAAAATGGGAACTTTCAGACGTCCTTGATCTCAGATGATTTTTCTCAACCTCATGCATAATACTGCACTTAAACCTTACGTATTCCAAGTGCACACTAATTACTTCTTTCTTTTAAGGAACTCCATCCAGCTCTTTGGTAATTATTCATTATTTATTCAGAGTTTATAGAACCTTGGAGTTTAAGTTGTGCTGTGAGAGTGCCTCTTCCCACATGGATATGTTCTGCTAATGGCATAATAATATCACATGTACTTATTATAAGAAAGAATATGGTATTTTACTAGTTAGTTTTCATTTCAGTTATTGTTTTATTCAACAAAATTTTTCTTTTGATTAGGTGCACAACGTTATTAATGATGCAGTCGATTTGTTGGAATTCCGTGACAGGGTTATCAAGGCCTCTTTGAACTATGGGCATTTGGTCGTTTCAACTTCCCTTCAGTGTTACGTGTTTTCGTAAGTAATACAAATTTCATGAAGCTTTCTCGAGTTTATCTAGCGGTTGTAAGAGAGTAGCAGAAACTTTATATGACGTGCAGTAGTTAATGTTCAATTTTTTTTTTTAACTAGTTGAAAGTCTATATGGAACCATCATCTACAACAAAACGTAGTAGAGTAGAGTTGCCCTCCTGTCATTCTTTTCTTTCAGCTTCTTGCTGGTGCCGTGACTGCCTGTTCATTTTACTCCAAAAATTTGTCAAGCTTTCTTTTCATGTAGAGGCAGCAGGAGTGGTGGCTGGATGCGAGTGTATTTATGCCTCCTTCTAGGGACTCCTTTTTTTTTTTTTTTTTTTTGGATACTGCTTCTGGCATGCCATTATTTTGGAATAGAGTAGGAATGATTCAATCCTGTATCATGTTTTAAGAACATGATATTCTTTTTCGTATGCTGAAATTTAGAAGTTTACTCCTAAAGGCACTTAATCTGTTCAGTGAGATGACTAATGCTGAACAATAATGCAGTCTGTAATAGGGCAACTCTTATCCTACCTCAGGATCACTGTATAAGAGCTGAAACTTTATTCAGAAATATTTTAAAACTATGTTTGTTTCATATAAATACGATTTTGCTGTTTACTAAGACTCCTAGGTCAGCTGCTGCTAGCGGGAAGGGATGCGAAAATGAAGACAGAAGTGTTACTGGACTATACTGCGTGGTTATCAGTGTTACTTGGCTTCCTAAATGCTGTTTTCATTTTGAAAACCTCCCTTTTTAGGAATGTTAGATGATTAAAATGTGTATGCTGTACTTAGTGAATTCAGCTCCATATTAGCAATGATACGTGAAGGTTAGCAGCTTTAACCTTTTTTTTTTTTTTTAATTTTCAGTACAAAGAACTGGAATACACCACTGATCTTTGACCTGAAGGAAGGAACAGTTAGTTTGATTCTACAAGCAGAAAGGTAATTAACCACCTGTAATGCTCAATATTCGCTGTGAACGTGCATTTCCTAAAACTGTTGTATAATGTAAGCAGATATTGAAATATTAAAATGGACAGAAACTATACAGTATTGTTAAGTAGCACCTAAAGGCTTAGCTGGTATATTTTCTGTAGGTCTGTGATGGTGGTGATGAATCTTTTCATAATGTATGCTTATACTCTTATTTATGGAAGAAATCTTTTGATATTATGCTAATATCTGAGGGGTTTGATGGTTTATATTACTTTTTTGAACTGGAATATATTTTATGTAAATTTTCTTTGGACTCTGATTTTTATTAAAAATGTTGCCAGGTATGCCAAATAAAAAATAGTTTTCTTTTTCTTACATATTTTTATTTATATTTGCAAGAAATTACTGGGGTTTATTCTCAGCTAGAAAAAAACTTTAATCTCTATTTCCTGAAAATGATTTGTCAAAGAGATCATTACGTATGCTTTCGTAGAAAGTCTTTCAAAGGACTAAGAATAGGAGCAGAGCTCAAAAATCTTGAGTTTTGATTATAGTCTCAATTCTCACGGAGAAATATTGTTGGACAACTATTTCAGCAAAGTGCAGCGCAGCTCTCACTGCGTTATTGAGTGGCCCAGATTAAACACGCATGTCCTCGTCTACAGAGATACAGCAGTAGAGGACGGGTAAGCAAGTGGACAGGATTTTGAAGATCAGTTTCTAGATTTGGAGTTTTGTGCTGCCGATTAAAAGTAAATTTTGAAAACGTGGCCCGGATTCTTTGGCAGTGTAGGTGAACCTCAGGTTTTGGTAAAACCAGCCTACTTTGACAGATACATGTGCAAACAGGCAGTGATTGGTAACGTTTACAATAGCTGAGGGTTTAACAACTGGCTTTTTGTTTATGGATGTTTTGTGTCCATAAAGTGTACACGCTGTACTTACCAGTTATTGTTACACAGAACTATTTATATTCTGTATAAAAGTTTGCCATGTATTCCTGCAAAAAAGTTACTTTTCCCTAAAGCCCTGCATCATAATAGATGGTGATCAGTTCATTAGAAGTGTCTTCTGTTTGCTTTCCATTATAATCCAGTCGTACGGAAGGAGGTGATACAGGTAATACTAGTTCAGAGCTACCTGTGAACATTAAAGCTGTTTCTCACATACATAACACACAGCACTGCCTCATGGGGTGGTGTGTGGGGAGAACCGTCTGCAGCTGTATGCTTTGTCACCAGGAGTTACAAAATTTAAATCTTATAATACCTGTAACACGTACGGTGATTCCAGATAATAAATTTTTCTCAAATAAAAAGATAACGTTCACATTAAAACTGGAGTCTTCCATATAGGACTTTCAGAATATTGACTTTGAAATGTAAGGCTTAGAAATTCCGTAGTTTTAACTGAAAACAATTGCAGGATATTAGACAATTACCTTCAAATTGTTGAAACTGTCATCGTGCTTTTCTGTATTATTTTGTGAATTACTTTTTGGGCGGGTTTTTTTGTTGTTTTTTTTTTTTTCTTTTTTTGTAGGCATTTTCTTCTTGTGGATGGTGGAGGACTTTATTTATATTCATATGAAGGAAGATTAATTTCCTCTCCAAAATTTCCAGGAATGAGAACAGACTTTTTAAATGCCCAGACAGTATCTCTGAGCAACGATACTCTAGCAGTAAGAGACAAAGCTGATGAAAAGAGTAAGTTCTCTGTAGAGTTCCATGTTTGCTAATAATTCCTAACGAGGTTTTCAACATCTTTACATTTAACTTTGCTGAGCATAGTTATGGTAAAGCACAAAACATAAACAATTTATCTATGATACAAATTAAAAGATACCGTTTATTATAAAAATGAATTTAAACGTTGAGTCTTGCTTAACTTTGATGAAAACACTTCAAGAGAATGATGTATGTCTCTGGACTTGCTGATGCATTAGACACAACTGGGAGATGTGGGACATTTGCAGGAAACACTGGAGCAGTAGGTTTTCACTTTCGGACGTGACTTCTTTAGAAAAAATTACCTCATCAACTTTTTCTGCTTGATTGCTGCTCTTAGAAGCTACCAGTACATTAGCTGGGATTAATTTTAGTTCTCGGATGTTCTTTAATTTGGGGGGGGTGGAGTTTGTATCTTTACAGCAGCTAAGTTTTATATGCAGCCCATATGACTGTAGTCACGAGGCTGGGATGTCCTGTCCCAGTGTTGTGCCCTTGAAGATTTTTATGCTCTTAAATTTTGTAGTTTGGCATCAAAAGCACTATAATTCGAAAACACAATGAGCTTCAGGTAAATTTTTGCATTAATGAGTGGTGCAGGAATATCTTTTTGTCCTTCAGCTTTTTTTTTTTTTTTCCCCTGTGTTCTATCTCTTGATGCAAACATGTAAGTTTGCCTTGTGCAGCAGTTTAAATTTAAAGTGTCTGCTGGAGACAGACAGTTCCATTGCTGGAAAACCTATGGCACTGTGACTTTGACTTCATAACTCTGCATTTATAGGCCATACAGATTTTACAGTGCGGGGCTGCCGTGCTGTCTATAGCTGTATTTCTCCTGTGATACAGCCAGTAAGGGGATTACCAGTGGGAACAACTATGCGCAGGAGGTGCTGTTATTGCAGAATGAAACAGCAAAAACTTCCTGCCAGTGGTTCCAACTGACACTAACTCAATCTATTATCTATAACTGTTATCCTAGGCTTAATGATTAGATTTTACACAGGTTTAGAATTTTAGAATGCTTTGTCTTGCAGCAAGGAACCACCATATTTATCATCTTTTTGCCATATTAAAAAACCTTTCAGTGGGAAGTACAAAAGAAGATCCTGGCAGGGAGTTAGCTCTTTAGTACTGATTGCATGGTAGTTTTCTCAGCATATAACCTGCAACTTAAATTACTTGGTGAATGAAGAAAATCTTTGTAATGATCCTTTAAAATAGCCCTCCCCAAGCAAAAGAAAAATTCGGTGAGGTTTTTCTCACTTCCTTGTTACGAAGCATTTTTGCTACTCTGTACAGCTTATGTATTTTTTTTCTTGTACATCCTTTTGTGTGAGAACAGATTCTTTCATTTTGAATCATTATTTTTAAGAGTAGTAATATAACTGTAATGCGTATTTCGTTTTTAAAGGAAAATTACTTCAGAAAATATTATCCTCAAGCACCAAGACATTAAAGATATCTAAAATAGCTGTGTAGTAATTAAAATGGAATTTAATCAGCAAAAATACATTTCAGTGTAAATTATTTGGAAGAAAGCAATAGTTTGCAGAAGTAGTATAAATGGATCAGTGAAAAGTATTTTATTTCTGATCTTTTTGTGTCTGTATATTACACAAGTGTATGTATGTTTGTGTATTATTTAATCTAGAGATTTTATTTTATTGCCATATTGGCACCTTGATGCTGTTAGAATAAAACTAATACAGATATTTAATTAAATGGTGGTTATATAGAAAATTCATCCATAAATACTGACTGCTGTCTATATGCATGTGTAGAGACATATCTCATAGAGGCATACCTCTTGCCCTGTTCCCCTGCCCATCTATCCTGAGCAGACTGAAGAGCATCTCCACCCCTGACCATTCCTAGTCGTGTCCTGATGGTCTTGTGAGACAGTTCTGCATGCAGGCTAATCTTCATCAAAACTCTACTTTACAGAGGCTGGGTTTCTGGCTAATGTTTCCAACATAAGCTCTCCAAATTATTCCATTGATAGGAGCTTCCATCAGCGCAATGAGTAGGGGTGGGGTTTGTTTTTTTTTTTTTTCTTTTTTAGATACGAGCCTCACTAGTGGTAAAAAGCCTCATAATATGCCAGCACATGGGAAAACAGATTCTTGGCATAGGAAACCGTGGCTTATCTAGGCCTGTTTATTCTTTTCAACTCACCCCAGCAGAAGCGTGGTTGGGTGGTTTGTTTTTTTTTTTCTTTGCCCTATTTTGAGGGCAGGTCTGTTTTTCATAAGGCAGTGCATTATAGAAATATCTAAGATAGCTCAGTTTGATACAGGAAGCAGTTTACACGGCGTAGCATGGACCTCTCTACTAACTAATTGAAATGGAGCTGCGACTTGCTGTGCTTCGGTGTTATTACTTGGATATTCTTCCTCTTTCAGTAATCTAGAAAAAAAAGTTGGTACGTCCGTGCTTACAGTCCTTCCTCAGTCTCGAACGAAGCTGGAAGAGGAGGTGAGCCTGTTCTCAGAAGGGAGCTGCTGACCCTAGGAGCAGTTACTCTCTGATAATAGAACACATGTGTTAAGACACACAGTAGCTGTTCTCTTTCTCTGCATGTTCAAAGTGAAAGAAAAGGCTTTGGTTATATTTTTAATTTATACATATAAAAAAGATATCTTTTAGGTTCTAAATCATTGTAAAGTGATGTGGAGTTTTTCCAGATGGGGCAAAAAAAAAAAAAACACCAAACCTCCAAACTTACTTTCTGAAATACCTTAATAAGCATTGTAGATGAATGAAAAGTTAACCGATTTTACTTCTCAATTAGGTACAGCACTTTTCTTTAAAACTCTCTTAATACCACTTCCTATAGTACAGTAGCAGTAAAATTGCCTTGTATAGCTAGATCAAAATAAATTTCATGCAGGGAGCCATGCATAAAAGTGAGAAAAATAACACTTCTCAGGAACAACTAGTTTTCTTTTGTACGTGTAGCCAGCTGCCAAGAGCAACACTTGTGCAAAACCCTTTCTTTTCCTCCTCTGCAAACTCAACCAATGCTTTCTGAACACCTGCTTTTACAGTTTTGGTTTGGGGGTTTTTTTTGGTTTTTTTTTTTGGTTGTTTTTTTTTTTTTTTTAATTCTGCCTGTATAACCATTGACCTCAAACCAACACCCTGTGCTGGTGGAAGCAGTGCAGGAAAGGATGAACATGTTAACATCGCCATCCTTTGGAACGAGCACGTATGTTCATCTGACAGTTTACACTTACAGGTAACGTGTAGAAACCCCAGGTGGGATGTGTTACTGAACATTTAAAATGTTGCTGTCGCGTCTGTGTTTTCCATGAACTAACGTGGAATCATGTGCTTTAAATTACAGCGGGTGTTCCTTCCAATGTCACTATTTTCTCTAGGCTTGAATACACCTCTGAATTTTTGTGCGTGTTCACAGAAAGCGTGTACAAACAGGTTGTGAGCACACGTGCATGTGTGTGCATCACACACACATGTACATAGAGAGACAGAAACAAAGAGAAACTTTATTTTTAGGCAAATTGCAAATTTGAGTCTTCGCTAGATATCCCAGGAATAAAGGTGATGTAGGTGGGGTGGTTTTTTGCTTTTTTTTTTTTTTTTTTTGAGTGAGGCAGGAAGAGTGAAACAAGTGGGCTTTTGGTAAAGACTGCAAGAATTATGTATAAAATTCAAGTATATCTAGATGAAGCAGATACTTTTTGAGGAAGCCAGTTATTAATATATTGTCATGAATTGTAACATCATGACAAGCAGAAACCCGAAACTGGAAGAAAATATGCCTAGGGACTGCTGTGTTAAGACTTCAAAATAGAGCAGATTATTAATAAAATAGAGAAAACGTCTGAAAAATGTTTTACCCAGTAGTTCAAAGGACAGCTTTTTATACGTTTGACGCTAATTACTTTAGGAAAATACATCAGTCAATGGTATCACTTCCTAAACTTTAATATTCATCAGAATTGTGGATTAGGATTGACTAAATAGCCTTGGTAACATGAATTTATTCAGAATGCAGGGTACAAACTTGCATTAGATAGAGCTCGCTGTCATTTCTGTAAATAACCACTTGAGCTGTGATAGGAAATAAAACCTGAGTTTTCTCAATTCTGTATCAGTCCATAATATTGTGTTTCAGTAGCTATCATTGCTCTGAAAATAATGATATTTGAGAATTCTCACAGATCACTCCAATTGCCAAATTAGACTATTCCTAAGCTCAGCACACTCTGCCGGTTACATTTTCCCAACTGTGAGATTCTTTTTTCACTGGAGTGTGAAAGTCTCACTGGTAAATCTAGCATGCAGTAATAAGTATCCACCTGCAGTAAATTACACTCTGAAAATGAACGGAACTGCTTGAAAAGTCTATGAAGAACTGTTACTTTTAACTAATCAACCTTTTTTTTTTTTTTTCTTCTTCAGTTATCTACATCTTTGAAGCTTTATCTGGAAAGCCATTGGGTGATGGAAAGCCTCTAACCCATAAGGTGAAGGATATAATGTCTTTTTTTTTTTTTTTTTAATACTTTGATATTAAGAATCAGTAATGGGTTTCCTCAATAGTGGGTCTAATAAACCTATTAAAGGTTTGCAATCTCAATAGAAAGGAGCTTGACAACTCTGGCTGACTCTTACAAACCAACAAAAAATCAGATTCTCTATGCAGTGTTGATGTGCAGAGGGATGTACTGTAGGTTGTGCTCAGTGACGGGCATGTGTTTCCCATGCACATAAATGTTTGAAATGATAGGTAAAACTGAACAGCTGGCTTCCCTTTGGACTCCAAAGCAACTTTTATTAGTGCCAACCTGTTGTTTAACACTGAAGAAAAGAGGATCAGTGAAAAGTTGTCTGCCTTCAGTCTGAACTTTTGCTGTTTGTTACTTCAGAAGCAATCGCCTGAACTGCTTTTTACTTCACTCTTCTGGTATACAACAAAAGCAAAATTAGTCAGCTTCTTTGGAGAGAGGAGTAAACATTCATCATTTAGGCAGCTTTTGCTTTGGGAATGCCGTTTTTATTTCTGTCGTTTTGTGGTAAATTCCTAAACGGCTAACTCTTCTCTGTTGCCGTTCTGTTTTAATCTGCATGAAATTCGATTTTTATAACACTTCGTTCAACAGAAAAAAACATACACAAAGTGTCTTCACAGTCCAGTTTTTCAGGAGTTTTGTGCCTTGTTTTTAGTAAAGCAGTCGTTCGTTTGAATATCACGTGCTTTCTGTGATACGAATCCCCAAAATAAAAATCAGATCTTTTCTTTTTCCTTTTCAGACGGAAATTGTGGAGATTGCTTTGGACCAGAAAGGACTTACAAGTGAAAGAAAAATAGCTTTTATTGATAAGAACAGAGATCTTTACATTACTTCAGTTAAACGGTTTGGAAAAGAACAGAAAATTGTCAAAATAGGTAAGAAAAACCCAAAATAACATTTACCTACATGCTAGCAGGCAAATACTTTTATCTAGTACAAGAGACAGAATTTTCCTTTTTAATTAAGGAAATAAGACTTGAAAAAACATTAGCTATAGCCCTGTGGCTTTTATAAGATAGTGGTAGAAACAATTTTAGTACATTTTGTCTATATACTGATAATTTTTATACCAGTTACATGTAAAGCAGTTGTTAATATCTAAGCACATGTTATTGCATTCCAGAACAAGCAGCTAAGAGGATATTGGAGAAGGATGTATTCCTTGGAATTATTCAGTAGAGAATCTTCCAGACATTTGTCTTGCAAATGCAAGAATTTAAGTTCATAATATTTTAAAATAAAGTTTAAATGCTGTAGACAGGTGCATGATCCAGTAAATACTAAAGTGCAGTCTGACTGTTGTGTTAATCGCGATCTTCAGTCTCAAAACTAAGCCCAAAAAACATTATTCTGAAATAAAAAACCTTTCGGAAAGAGAGAACTGAATTTGGCTAAAAGTTTGTAAGATGTCACTTTACAAACTAGGGAGTTAAAAGCAACTGAGAATGACTAACAGTTACCCTTTTGCTACAGTTTTGAGAAGTGTAAATTTGTTTCGAAGTTGCTTATGGAAATGCATATTATTCTGTTATCTTTAAATTAAGGGACAATGGTTCAAACTTTGGCTTGGAATGACACATCTAACATTCTTTGTGGGATTCAGGATACCCGTTTTACAGTCTGGTACTACCCCAACACAGTCTATGTAGATAAAGACCTTTTGCCAAAAACTCTTCATGAAAAAGATGCAAGGTAATGTATCCCTTTTGATCAAAATAGTATTATTATGTGTTTTAACTGGTTTACTCATTCCTTAAAGAATTACATTAATTTTGTCACTTGGAAGTAGAAACCAGGGTTGCAACTTTTAAAATTCTTTCCGTGTTACTGCTTCTTGATTAAGAAACGATGATGGAGTGTTTTGTAAGGTGTATCATAAAGTTCAGAGAGACACTGTGCAGTTCAAAAGCAGAATAGCATCGTGATGCAAACGCAAAATTGTGATCGTGTCTCTTGAAATATTGTCTTAGTTGTTTGTAAAAAGAACAACCAAACGAAAGATTCCTAAAGTATCTGTCGGAAATTAAAAGTATTGAAATATTAGGTCACAGATGATTATATTTCTAGCTCAGCACGTTTACTTTACATGTTTACTTCAGCCTGTCTACTTTGTGGTATGAAATTCTTTATAAAGAATATCTGAATTCATTAGTTCATTCTAAGAGTTATGGGAGCCCAAATATTTTTTTACTGAAAAAGGTATTTGGGTATTGGTGTAAAAATTTTCAGTTTGTGTTTGCCTTACAGCCAGTGAATGTGCATAACTATAATTTTATTTTTAGAGAACATTACAACTACCTTTCGGATGTAGCTGTTGCGTAACTATGTGCTTAGATTTTTCTGTATGCTCTGAAAACGGAATATAATCACATCGTTTTGAAACAAAGATTTCTTTAAATTACTGTTGTTCTTTTCAGTAAAAAAGTGAATACTAACTTAACTTTCTTTCTCTACCCAGTGAATTTAGCAAAAATCCCCAGATTGTACATTTTGTAGGAAATCAAGTAACAGTTAGAAGAGCAGATGGTTCACTTATTCACCTTAATGTTTCACCTTATCCTGCCATTCTTCATGAATATGTCAGTAGTTCTAAATGGGAAGATGCTGTCAGATTGTGTCGTTTTGTCAAGGTAAATGCTAATTATTTGGAACGTTCAGATACAATTTCACTGCAATATTTATGTTTTCAGATATTACTTCAATGATGATAATTGCGTATCAGATGTTGCATCTCATTTCCATTCTTCTGCTTTGTTGCTGGTTGTTTTTTGGGCTGGTCATGGAGAATTACACATTTTTCATAATTACATAATATACCTGTACATAATTTAATAGTTTTCGCTATACATAATAAAAATTCTTGGGTTTATTTACACCGAAGTCCAGATGGATTGAATACAGGTACTCACAGAAGTTAGTAATAAGCTTAAGTTTTTAGGACTAAGCCTTAATATAACCAATTAAAAAAAGATCTACATCTCCACATACAGTTGCCGAGTGTTTCTTCATATTTTATTTCACTTGTTTTTGTTTGCTTTCTTTGCTTTCTTTTGTATGTATTTAGGCAACAGCAACAGATGAGGTGAGTCTGGCTGTATTTAGAACAGATAGATAAAAATCCCCCCAAACCCTGCTTCCTCTCCCCCATTTACTCCTAGAAAAGAGTTTAGTACTTTCATATGACTATCATGACCTTAAATCTGTATTTCAAATATTTTTGTATTTGCATTATTTAAATCAATGCACATCCAGATAATGATTATTATATATAATGATTTTTATTTTGTTACCCCTTTAATAGTAGGCTTTTATTCCGATATTTGGCAGTGGGAACTGGGATTTCAAATCTCAAACAGATATTATATTAGCTTTTTTGAGTTATCTAAATACATCATCTTTAAAAATAAAACATCTGTATCGGGTGGTAATATTATCATTTTGTTTCTTTTTAATTAACATGAAGGTTTTTTTAATTCAAGGATTTTTTTTGGTCAGACTTCTCTTGCATCCTCTTCATTCTTATGGGTAGAATCATCCAATGAGTTTAACCATACTTTAAAGGAAAAATGTTTAAAATTCTCAGTGCTTTTTTTAAAGAAATCCCATTCTCATGTATCATGTTTTTTCACTGTCCTTTTCTTTTATGAGCTTTTCCTCATTAGTCTGTATCTGTCAACAAGGCCTTTTTTGCTCTCAAGAAAAACTGTAACAGGATCTTTATTTTCAGCATGAAGAGTATTCACATCATCTGGTTTGAAGCATCAAAGTTAGGTACCTAGGTCTCAGTCTTTGAAGACTTCTCTTTCCATTGATTCACAAAAGAAAGTTTTTTGTCTTTGATAGAAAGTAATCTGAACCAGCCTAAACTAGACGGTGCGAATATCCTTTCTTTTTCACAGTTTGTGTTGGGTTTGGGCTGAGGGATGACCTGGAATGCCCTTACACCAAGGTAGACAGAGAGCCATCACAGCTGGTCTTGCCTTGAGTACTTTGTTTATCTTTCATGATTCCTAAACTCTTTGCGGAGATTTGGGGCTGTTTTGTTGATTTTGGCAAGCCAGGTAGACAGTTGGAAGTATTTCCAATCCAGTAATAAGCAAATGGACCATCTTTCTGAGGAAAGAGAGAACAGCAACACCCATTGGTGAAAAACTCCTAGAAACTTGGTCTCTTGAATAATTTCAGGCTAAACTTTCACCATTTTATCACCTAATTTTCTAAATAATAGCGAAGTGGGAAGAGAACATGACAAAGATTTTATATGTGATTCTCTGAACAAATTCTCCCAAATTACAGGCTACCAGCAGGAAGTTTTTTCTTGTCCTGAATCCTGGTAAAGAGTAGGAACAGTGAGGAGATAGATGGTGATAGTGAAACCACAGCCTTAGGCTAAATTACTGAATTTTGGTGTCTTCGGTGGGTCTTACTGGTTTTGTTTCATACAGAATTGATTGTGAGTAAGGTCATGGGAATATGTTTAGAGTATACTCAGTGTAGCTGTTTATTCTGATTTCCCTCAGTAGTAATCCACTGCTGCTTCTAAAAAACCTATTCACATTGCAAAGTGATTTTTTTTTTTTTCAAATTCGTTATTGAACTTACTTAACAAAAATATTAAAACATGCTTAATTCCTAGAGTGTGGACTAACAAGTGCATTCAAAGTGATGCTTTTCCTGCCTGAACTAGAGTTTTCAGATGTGGTAGCCTAAACTAAATTAACTAATGTGTTCCAGTAGTATATTTTTGCTGTAATGTTGTCAGACTTAAAAAGGGAAGATATCAAAACGTCAGGATCTTTCTGAATGTTTTTCTGAGTTACTGGGGTTTCCTTAAGGTTGTGTAAAGAAGGAAAAAAAAAAAAAAAAGAAAAAAGGGAAAGCAAAAGTCATGAAAATAGAAAACAAGGGTGTAATATTATTATTACTACTAAGTTTTTCTAATTCTTAATTCTAAACATAAAATGCACTGAAAATATCACAAAGGAGACAGAACTTTTGAAGCTATTATTTATTTTTCATTGGGTTCGTAGTCTGTTCTACAGTCAAGTAATTTTTTTTCATTTGTAGTACACTTATGATAAACATAAAATTATTGTTTCTGTCAGCAACACGGTTCCAGTATGGCTATTTGTGAAGCCAGGTTGAGATGAGCCAGGTTAAAATAATTTTTTTAACCACCACCAGTGCTTTGGTTTCCACCGTAGTTCCACAAGTAGTGACAGGGACACGGATGAGGTTGTAAAGTGATTCTATGGCAAGAGTTCGTTACTGGCTGGGATGGTGAAAACTAATGAGACATTCAGGCACGTTGTTAGGCTTGGCTGATCACAACATCAGCAGGTTTCTAATGAAGGAGTTCTGAGACATATTTAAGTAGTGGCTTTTTAATAAGAGACTTTAGACCACCGTGCCATGAATGGCATACTGAGAAATGTATTGTTATATATTATTTTCAGGGCTTCTGTACTTCCTTTGAGAAGTCATTTTTAACATCATAAGAAATATTTGAAGCTTTAAGACTTGCTGCTTTTTTTTTTTTTTTTTTTTTTTTAATTTCAGGATCAAACTATGTGGGCATGTTTAGCTGCTATGGCAGTTGCCAACAAAGACATGGCTACGGCAGAAATAGCCTATGCATCAATTGGAGAGGTAATAAAATGGTGTTATTTATTTCCAGCTAAGTTGTTGCAGAACTGATTTTATTAATTAATTCCCCTTATTAAACTGTTGTACCTCTTGTTAACAGATTGACAAGGTTCAGTATATCAATTCCATCAAAGATCTTCCATCGAAAGAGTCAAGGATGGCTCATATACTGCTGTTCAGTGGAAACACCCAAGAAGCTGAAACCCTGCTTCTTCAAACAGGACTTATTTATCAAGCTATTCAAGTCAACATTAATCTTTACAATTGGGATAGGTAGTATTTCTTCAAACACAATATGTTTGTAAGCAGTCTTACTGAGGTAACTGTAAATTATTTAGATCAGTTGTTTTACTGCAGATAGACTGACTAATTTCCTATTCTGTAACTACCCAGAGCTATAAAAAGACGAAGTAAAACATATCCTGACAGTAATTTTTACTCTGTCATATTTAGAAGATACAAGTATTCTGTGATAAAAGTCCAAAACATGCTTGGAAGCTTTTTTTAAATAACATTTTGCTTTTTCATTATTGTTAACAGAGAAAAGTCCTTAGTGATACCTCAAACGGTATGTGACCCTCAAAGAATTAAGGCTGTTTTGAAATGTCTTGTTGCTAAAAATAGATATGTGGCTATTCAGACTCCCAGCACTGTGTAGGTGGATGAAATATGAATTAGGCCTGAGAAAACAAAGTAGGAATTTCTCCTTTAAACAAAACCCCACGTTTTCTAACAGAATCTTCTGAGGCCGTTTACTACCGATTTCTCTGCTATTATCTTCATATCACTGTGGACAAAAAAGTTGTTTTTCCCTCACGTATCCATGTTTATTATGTGGTCTGATATCACCTAAAAACTGTGTGTATCAAACGTAAGTATTCCTTATGCTAGTGAGAAGAAAAGAGATGTCAGAGGAATCAATTACACTAATCCAGTGACTAATCTTTCCTGCCTATAGAACAGTTGGAAATACTGTGCAGCATGTGCCATAACGTTCTGAACTGTTCAGAAGCAATTTCTGACTGTAATAAAGTGATTAAATTGTTATTACTTTTGCCTCTTTACATTGAGAGTGCTAAACTCTAAAATAAAAAGACTCCTATTGTCAAACTCCAATGATGTGATGAGGTTGTCAACAGAAATAATTGTTGGATATTTTTCATAGCACGCATCATAAAGTAGAGCGTCTCCTCCACTGGCTACTTTTAACCTCCTGTGACTGATACGAATGTAAAACTGCTTGGCACTATAGATTAGAAATCTTTGCCTGCAGCCCAAACACTTTTCAGAGTATCGTTTTGCAAAACCATGGTGATTGTAGTTGTGCCAGAGCATTTATATAGCCTGACAAGCCCATTTCTGTTTTATTCCAGGGCCCTAGAACTAGCAGTAAAGCACAAGACACATGTTGACACAGTCCTGGCTTATCGACAAAAGTTCCTAGAGGACTTTGGTAAAAAAGAAACGAACAAAAGATTTTTGCAATATGCAGAAGGTGTAAGTATCCCTCAGAATTATTCCTACAGCTTTAGGTCAGCCTGCTCTTTGTAGCCAGTTGGGGAGGGTGGAGGGGAATTGCCTTTACGTTTTCCTCCTTTGGTTCAAATGTGGACACAAACGTTAAGATTTTATATCTTAGTACAAGGTTGTAGCTTGATGTGTGGCTACTTGGCTAGTAATAGTTGTGCATATGTTTCATTTGAAGGCACAGATACAGAATCTCTCTATTTAGTATCTGGCAGGGATTATACAAACGAAGCCACAGTTGTTTTCTATAAACAGGGAGCTAGACCTTAGTATGGTTGAATTCATACCTCTTAAATATCTTCAGCATTTTAATGTAATTTTATGGATAGCAACAATAACAAACTTTGAAGGTATCCAGATATATATTAAGAGCAAACTACAGAGTGTTCTGCCAAATATGAAAAATAGCTAAATATACAATTTCATCAAACCTCTGTAAACCCTCTCCCATCTGATCAGCTAAGTCATTTCGATTTATCAGCATTTCACAGACCTTAAAAACTGAGGACAGATTTAACAGGTCGTAAGCAAGAAGTATCTTAGATTCCGTTGGAGTGCTTGTGTGCGTGTTTCCTTTCTGAGAGGCACCCACACGTGCACCTTAGACAGCAGTTTGATGGAGCAGCATTTACATCCTCTCGCTGTTCCTGCGCGTTCTGAGGGTAAAACTGTGAAAAAGAGACGTGTACTTTGACTGTGTCGGATCCTTTCATCCACTGTAGCTGATGGATCAGGAAATACATCCAAGCTGTTAGGCTCAGATCCTTTAATTGCACAGTGCCCATTACACTTTCAATAAAGCTTGATTTCTAATGTAAGTCATTAGCTTTTAGGGTTTCTAAGGATGTTTCATTTCCTAAATGAGAATAAAAGTCTGCACAATATATCTATCCCCCCCCCAATGAATCATTCTGCAGTACTTTACCTAGAAAATACAGAAAAATAGTAGACCAGATTCCAAGCGCTCTTATCATTCAACAATTTCATCTGCTCTGCTGAACGTACATCTTCTACAAACTTTAAATCCATTATTGAGCAAAAATTATGTTAATCCCTGGATGCTTCTGAAAGAGACTTGTTAGATACAATACTGTCTTGTCTTTAAATCAAGAAAGCCATCATTTCTGGAAGGGTTCCCAAGCAATAACGCCTTCTCGGTGACAGGGTGTGAGCAGGGCGATGCAAGTGGAGCCTGTTTCACCCTACACTCAGTCTTGAAACTTGTGTCTCAGACTCCAGAAGGTTTACGGAGTAAAGAAATCCTTTTGCCGGATCCATGTTCTGAAAGTCTTGTCTGCCGGATCTGAAAGGAGGAGGGAGCCTAATTAATGAAGTGGGTTTTAAACTTGATTTTGGTGGTAACTAAATTCTTAACGCAGCCTGTCAGGCTCGTATAGCAAAGTTAGAAGGAAGTGTTAAGGGCACTGAAGAAAAAAAAATACAGATTTTGTGCTGCTATTCCTTCTCAGGGGGGAAAAAAAAAAAGTGTCTCACTTTCCTTCTCACCACCTAAAACTCCTTCAGGCTTAAGTAGGGAGTTCTTAAGTCTTTTTCTATACTGCGGCTGAGACCACGAATCTGCAATCAGATACGGAATCTAAACAATGTGCTTGGTTGTTATATCTCACGTCTTTATATATAAGGTATTACAAACCTAATATGTATACTGAGAATCCATATCTTGGCAGTTACTAGGTGTCACTGGCAAGGGTTATTGACTTCACTGGCAAGTAGCTCTCCGGGCTAGATGGCAGAATTAGCCCTCGCCGTGGTATGTTTAGCATCTGTGTGACATCTGTTAAAGCAAACACATTCTTTCTTAGAGCTCCATAAAGATTTCAGTCATCAGATCCAAAGCACCTGGACCCAGTAAATGCATCCTGAATTGAGGGATTAACCTTTTCACATGAGAATGTGGGTATTGCAGTTACGTCTTCCCTCATAGAGAATCTTCCTTGTTATTTCATGACTTGCTTAACAGAGTAACAGCTACTCTGCAAATTCCCTGTGCAGCAGTTGAGATTTTTTTTTTTTTTCCCCCATCCCATCTTTGACAATCTTAATTTTCCAGCAATGAATCTGAACTTTACAATTGCATTTTTGCCCAGTTTTTGGACATGTTTTTATAGCCGTGAAATGCACCGTGATCTGTTCTTTCTTGCAAGGCATTTTTGGAAAGAAAGACAACTGTTGTATCCCACTGTACCATGGTTATTGTGCTATATCTATTGTCTGAAGTTTCACTGAAACAGAATACAGCTAGAAGATGATGATTCTCTGCAGCTGGAGGAATGCCAAGATAAAGCTAAAACATTTATTGATGTAGAAGACAAATTTCAAGCAGAAATCTGATTTCTGTTATGTCGGATAACTAGTGTAATATGCTGTCAGTTTACTTGGTGGACTTTCGGTGCAGTCAAAAGACATTACTCCATGTAGTATTGATAAAGGGCTGTATTCTCACTAATAGGACACAGATGTCATTACATTTAAATTAGATGCAAGTTGATCCAAGTTATTTTGGTGTTTTAACAGGTTGGGGTTGTTTTTTTTTCCATACACTATGAGATGTCTTAGTATTTGTTAAAATATATCAAGCTTGGTTTATTTTAAAGGTGGAAAGCTCAGTGGTAGAACTTAGCTGTGCCTTTGTACGTTCCATTAGTAGAAGTTGTCACTTACACGTGAAGAACTACGTCATGATTGATATGTTCACTTTGTAATTGTAACTGCAAATTGTCCTGTTAGCCAATCTGCTTGTCCTCTCTGTGTTAGCTGACCCCTGCGTACTCGCTTTTTCTGTTCCTACAGCTGGAAGTCGATTGGAATAAAATCAAAGCCAAAATAGAGATGGAAATTGCTAAAGAAAGAGAACGAGCAGCAGCCAGCCCTGCAGCGAGAGCTAGTGTGACTGTACAGCAGTAATGGTCCTTTCGGTCACCTTAACAAGTGCTGCTTGGATATTTGGTACCAGCATAGTTTGACAAGCATAAATTAATAAAAAACCACAACACACGTTTGGCGGGGAACGGGAGTGAGGATTGCTGTAGTCCTTGTTAACTGTTGGATGGCAGGCAGAATTATTTATTTACTGCAGTCTCGTTTGGAGCCGTGTTCTGATGCCCTGGCTCCAGTGAGTCGCTACATCCTATACGTATGAGAAAAAAGGGAAATTAACTTTTGTCTTTACATTAGTGGCTGTTAAATTTTCATTGCCATTAAAATTATTTAACCTTGCTTGCCTCTAAGTACCAATTTCCCTGTTTAAACACCTAGTTAAGTAGTTTGGTTATTTCTGCAACCTCAGGGATCTCTGAAAGGACTTGTTTAAATTGCCCTAAACCAAATTTAGCAAACTTTTAAGTGATGAAAATTAAAAAAGGAGCTTGCACTTACAAAGTGCAGAAGAACATTGCACTCCCGGTTATAGCAATACATATATCTGCCAGTATGTATGTCCTAGCAAGTTCTTCAACAGACGATTTCAGATTGCTTCAGCAACTCAGGTTTGTCACCGTAGCGAACTATTTGGCAATAAAGGGTATTTTCTGAGATAATGAAAATTGTTTAAAATACTGTGCATGTGCTTTGAATGTTGTTTGAAGTAACAAAAGGTGTTGTTGGTTGGGTTTGTAGCCTCTCACACGTATAATTAACATTGATATTCAGACCTTCCTTAAGGTTAAAATATCATATTAATTTAAAATAAGAGCTTTCCACATATTTTTTTTTTTCCCTGCCCAAAGCACTTGATTTGAAAATATTATTGTTACAATTGTGTTATTTCATTGAGATGCATTTTTCTTTGTTTTACATGTGGAAGTGGCTGCGTGTGTCAGATGTGCTTTGCAGTGTAAATACGGGAGCAGGTTCTTCATAACTGACGTTGTATAATACCTATCTTTCAAATGTTACCATCAAAATGCTAACTATCGGTATATCTAGCAAATTTCTTCAGGTTTGTAAATCATTATATAGCACTTTTTTTTTCACAGTTCATAAATTTCTTAATAAAAAACAAATAAAGGGATGTTTTTAAATGCATCCGATAGACGATGCATTAGGTCATCTCCATTGATTAACCCGACTGCTAAATAAAACATTTTTTGATGTAACTCAGAAGTTCCACGCTATTCTGGTACACTGACATGTGGCAAAGTGGACACCTTCACCTTCCATCGACTTGCAGAAAGCACTTATTAGTTCCAGAATTGAGTCTAGAATATCACTAATGGCAAGTGTTTAATGTTAAATTTATGAAGCCTGGCTCAGATTTGTAATGCAGGTTTGGGAGATGAGTCTGTCTGGTGGTGATACCAAGTTCACGGTCTCATCTTTATCTTGCTCTTTTATTCTTGGTCCAGTTGGAAGTACAGCAGAAGCAGCAAATTAAAAATGCCTGGTCCAACAATTAACAGTTGCAAAGGCTGAGATAAAGCAGGGGAAGGATGCCACGCCTGCGTGGGTATGTCCTTGACTGACTGCCCTTCAGCTTGATGTCAGTGTCGTTCACTTCAAGCTGGATCTCCACATCTCAACAAGAAGTGTTGCATTCGTAGGCGAGGGGAAAGGGTGATTAATTCCTAGGACAAAGCACAATAAAACCGTTAGGAGTTTATCGCTGATCAGCTCTGCTTTTTTCCACTCACATCCAGTCCTGAACTACGTGCTGTGCTGAGCGTATTTGTGTTAAACAGAAAAACAACAGAAAACAAAGCAAAAAGAAAAGTATTTTGGAAAAGCACTGCTATTCTTTATTTTCACCAGGTTCTAATAGCCAGGTAACCTGGTACCATTCTGACCTTGGGTATGAAATTTAAATTTCAGAATGCTCTCAGAAGAAAATATCCTCATGCGGCTTACCGGGGGATTGTTGCAGGGTTTTTACCTATCACACTTGGAATTCCAAGAAAAGTGTAAAAAGAAGCACCAGGAGGATATTGATGTTTCAGGAATGTTCATAAACAGCAACAAACCTTGCGTATGTGCTGCAGTGGGCCATTTCTGGTGTGTTCTGGTAAGACTGGTGTATTAGCAAGTGCAAAGAAAGATCAAAAGTGCTTTCACCCAACTGGTTGTGCTTGCGTCGTGTTACCTCCTTGTCCAAACCCTGATTTAAAACCTTCTAGGAGCTGTAAATGAAATCACTAATCAATTACTGGGCACATTATTGTCCAGTGCAAGAAGCCTGGTTCCTCAGTGATTTAAGAATACTTACTTTAAAAATAGATAACACCCTATTTAATTATTGACTGTTATCCTGGTTTCAGCTGGGACAGAGTTAATTTTCTTCCCAAACATCATAAATCTAAGGAGTAGGGGGTTAGCAGAATTAAAACATAATTGGTTTCGTTGCTGTTGTGAGGGATCAGTTACTCAGATATATCTGCAATCTTGCCATAGCAGGCTGGGTGTTGTAGTTCATGTCATTCATTTGACCTTGACCGCAGTAGATTCTCTCTGGTTGTAAGAAGGGAGGTTCAAATGGGAATGTCAAAAATGTATCTTGAAGTGAGGTAAAAATAAAAGCTAAGACGCGTGTTTAAAAGCAGTAATTGAATTAGGAAAGCAAAATACTGAAAAATTTTGTGTGCGTTAGGTAGCGCTTCTGTCTTCTAAACTTTCAAACGTTGCTCTTAGCTCTCCTTGCACGTGGGCTTGGAAATGACATTAAAATATGCAGATTTTTTTTTTTTTCCCATTCTAGCAGTGTAAAATGGAACAAACCTGAATAATCTCTTACTGTACACCAGGACCCTGCCCTGCATTAGAGGACACCCTTTTTTACAGCCCAGCCTTCCTGCGCTGTCCATCATCCATGGGGTGAGTGGTGATTGACAGGAGGAGCAGTGAAAAGGACGTTTTAGGAACATCCCCCTGGATTTGCCAAAAAAAAATTTGATGTATTGCTTTCATCTGGCTTTATACCATGTTTTAACTATCATTTTGGCTCCTGTTATTCCAGGTAATGCAAATGGTTAAAAAAAACCCTTAATTTTTACCTCTAGCTTAATTTTTTACTAGTTTACATGTTTTTAATAGTTTGGAGGAAAAAGGAAAAAAGATTTTTTGTGCTCTGATACCTAAGACAGCGAGACTTTGAGGGCTATCTTTGTCAGATTTTATCCTTTGGAACTGAAACAGGGTAAAGCTTTTGCATCGTCTGACATGAAAATTTAATTTCACAGTTTACGCAGAACCATTTCCTACTGCGGGCAAACAAATGCTCATCTCTGATGAGTGTGTGAGGTGACTCTGGGACTTTGTACCAGAGGCCAGAAGCATCTCTGAGGGAGATGAGGGGTAACAGCTCGGGTGTGTCTGGGACTTCCAGTTCTCCATGTGGCCTCTCTCCGCCTCATTTTTTTCCATCCGCAGAGGGGAGGAATGGATTCAGCAACGTTGCAGAGCTGGGTTTTGGGTTGTAAGAAGTTAATGCACACACCACACTCAACAGAAAGGCGGGTGAGTTCGAACTTTCAATGTTCTCAAACCCCAGACCAATAAGCATTGATAGTGCCATGGTGCTTGGTGAAGACGCCCGGCGTTATTCCCTTACTGACAGATGAAGTCACTTGCCCACAGGCATCCCGCAGGCCCACGCAGGCTGGCAATAGGACCAAGCCATCCCGTAGCCCAGCCCTACCTGCTGATCAGAGAGCTGTAAGGGAACTGCCCACAGCTGGGCTAGGAACTGGGATCATTAGTGAAGGCTGCTGAATTGACAAGGAATCACTCAGTCTGCAAATCAGGCTACAAGATTTAGCTGTGTCTCTCTCCTTGAATTTAACAGAAACTGCCCAGATAGAATTTGATGGAGGTTTCACAGCCAGGAGTTCAGCAAGAGCCACGAGCACAGCTGGGGAGGAAGCATCACAGGGCCTGCCTTGAGCTGAGGTGGGATTTCATCCAAACCTATCAACCCGCGTTCTGTTAAAAGGTAAAATTCACTGTTGTAGATAACGCAAAAATGCCCTGCAATCCTCTGAGACTTAGTCTTTGTTATTTCTTCAGAAAAGACGTAGATTCTATTGAAAAGTGAATGGAAATACTGATGGTAAAAGGGGAGGGAAAAAAAAAAAGTGCTATCCGCTGAATTATGATGTGTCGATTCTTCTGATTCCAAAAGAAGCAAAATAGGAACCAAAACGTTGGTGTTACACTGACAGAGTGAGTCTTAGGAATGGCAAATGCCTCAAAGCTGTGTAATACACTGCTTTTCAAGCAGTAAAGCCGTTTGAGAGCTGTATCATAGTGGCCTGGTGCCAGCCTTGACATGATTTTTTTGGGGGCATATCTGGTAAATCTGCCTGAAAAGTAATGTAAGCCCGGTGTGTTTGGTTTGGGCCCCTTGGCTGAAATGATAAATTCCTTTACGGTTTAACTTTTAAGAAAAAGTTAACTGGGAATTTTCATGATTTATAAAATAGAAGGCATCCTTTTGGCGTGGTATTAATCTCGTTGGCCAGAACGATGCCCTTCCTGCAAGCCACAAGCTTTTGAAGCCTGCAGGATTAATTGGGTTGGTTTAGCCATGAAACAAGCAACTCGCAAATAGGCCCTTAAAGATTCACTCACATAATCTCTGCTGTCCTCGGGGCTGGAAAGAGCTATAGAAGAGCTAATGCTCATTTTCAAGGGCCTGGTACCTACTGCTCCTTTCCCTACTTTAAACCTTTAATTGAGGTGTGGAAAAATAGCAAAAGTGCTTGTAAATGGGAGAGTATCTGCCTGGTGAAGGAGGTACCCTTGGCCTCGTAAGAAGAAAATCATGTGCATGGTGATGGAGAGCCCTGATACTTAAAAATGTAAATTAACTAGAAGTCATCTTCTCTTTGAGCTTTCACTAAATGACTGGAGCATGCAAGCCTCAGACAAATAAACCATAGCAAATGAGTATTCTTTCAGTAATTAACGTTTTTTTGGGGTAGACATGTCTGCAATGAATGGTCAGTGAGGAGCTCAGTTGTTTGTTGTTTTTTCCAAAGCTGTCATGACTCATCCTACTTCTCATTCCAGATGTTAATCGATGGTTTTCCATATAAATTAACCATTTTGCATATTAATTCCTGTTAGAATAACAAAATAGAATAAATAGAACATACAAAGTTCTGTCTAAATGCAAAATAGATATCTGGCACAATTTTATTCTGTTTCAGTTATTGGCTGATTTATACTGATGACTGCAAGGATTAGGTCAACCTGTTGCACTTGTATCTTGCTTGTAAATTCTTATTTCTATGGACAATAAAAAACCCCCAAGGGAAACTGTCATTTAATAACACTAAGAGAGCTTAAGTTCTATTTTATTTTGTAAATTAATAGCAATGTGATCAATTAAAAAAGAATCTAGGGTCAATTACTATATATCTAGAAACAAAGGCATGGTAGAAAATACTTTGGGAAGCATTATAACAACCATGGAAGGAAAAAAAAAAAGGGAGAAAATAGGTACTAATGGCTGTGAAATCTCTGATCACTGTGGCCAAGACCTGGCAAGAGCGTATGCACACACTGCCCGGCATGGGCCGTGGATAATCCAGCTGGGCTCGCAGGGGTAACTCACTGTGTGTAGGGGACTCAACCTTTCCCTCCTGTTTTCCTCCTGTTTTTTCCTTTGGATGGGAAGCTTGGAGCATTCAGGAATTTGAGATTTCCTGTCTGGTACCAACCCTGGAGCTGACTGCACAGCGTGGCAACAGAGCACAGCAAGAGGTGTGAGTGTGCCCGCAGGACCAGATTTCCACTGGTTTGCTTAGAAAACGTGAAGCTGAGGGGATGGAAGTGATGAAAATCGCCGCAGAAGCAGACGTGAAGTTCTGCTTAGTGAGCACAAGAGAGCTCAAGCAGGACTTTGCTGTTTGCTGCTGCTCTGAAAAGGGGCAAATTTCATTTAGGTTAGAGCATGGTGTCTTGGGAAGCCAAGTTGGCTCGTTCAAGTTGTATTGTTTTCAGTTGCCTTATTCACTTCAGAATAGCCAAAGCTACAAATACCCAATAATGGAAAAGCTAGAAGCTTTCAACACTAGATGTAATTGTTGGTGATATCATCTAGAGATAGGGGCGTAAAAAGGCAATTTATTGTTTTATATATTTCAGGATTGATATTCAACATAGAAATTTTGAGACTTCCATTTCTTTGTTTTGTGAGATCAGAGATGTCACGTTTATTCAGCGGCTCCAGAATCAGCGGACATTTCCCTAAATACAGTTGTGTTATCTGAAAAAAAAAAAAAAGTATATGATTTGAATTGCAACGGCTATAACCTTACTTGTGGGTTTCATGCAGATGATTGTGCACTGAGAATTCTGTTAATATGTAAAGAGAGCCTGGCAATTATCTATTCAGCAGTTATCACAAGGGTCTGGCTGTTGTCTTCTCCTCGGATCATCTCTTTGCCTTCCATAAAATCTGACGTAGTAACGCATCCTCTGCACTGATATTTTACTCTGTAGGGTATGGGGAAAAATTGGGCCGTAATCTGTCTTTGCACCAGGATTTGGGTGAATGTAACCTGAGAAGCTCCTAGTGAGAAAGCAGGGCAGGATCTGCTCTGGTTTATCTGGGTCACAACCATCTTGGGCCCTCCTCTTCCTCCTCCTTCCTCCTCCTCCT